GATGCTTCAAAGGATCAACAAACTCCACAAAGCGAAAGGAAGATCTACTAGATATTAATTAAATTACAAATATATCAATTCATGTGAATATGACTGAAAAATTTCATTTTTTTCTAAAAAGGTGATGTCTATTTACTTGTGACCACGTTGTGTACATTCATTTATCCTATGTAGCATTAAGCTCATAACAGTATACATCTATTTGTACTTAAATTTTATTGTTTTATTGCCCTTTGAACCATGTCTAACTACTACCATTCATGCCATTATATGTTGTAAATCACTTGGGGAACGTGGTGCTCATGTTACACTATCCAATTACATTGCCCATGATATACTCAGAGCTGCTCATGTGCGTGCCTTGTGAAACATTTTTATTATATTATTATTTATTTTACTTAATCTAACTAACCTAAAGAGATCTCTATTTTTACATTTTAGTCAATTTTATAATAAATAAAGAACAAACATGAAAAACAAGAAATAAAGTACTTAGCCGGGTCATCTTTTTTTTTGCTGTTGACTGTCAAGGACACTTAACCCTACTTTTTTTTTATACTAATGGTACTAATGCACTAAGTAATTTTTATTTAATTAAATAGTGCACCAAAGAACATAGAAAAAGCAAAAAGCAGACAATTTCCCCTAACTATTTTTCTGGCTTTCTAACTATGTGACTATAGCCATTATAAATTCATCCAAGCCAGAAAACATGTAATATAATATGTCATTTGATAGATGAAAACCTTGGCTTTCTATTGGTTATACAGAATATAGTATTAAGATTAATGGGGAATGATTAACAAATCCAGAAAAAAGAGTATGTGACAGGGGTGTGTGTGGCAAGAAGGGTCTGATTTTCTATTTGATGGCTCTGTAACAAAACAAGATTGAAGACTATAAAAATTATAGTTTGTCTGAGCAATGACGATTTTATATTGTGTAAATTACATTAAATTTCGTACTTACTGGAGGGGTGGTGAATAAAATAGAGAAGAGGAGATGCATAGAGAAAATAAGTTGAATTTCTCTCATTAGGGAAAACTCTGGATTTTTTAAAATATTGTATTATAAAATTAAGAACTTATAACTTATATACTATTAAAATATGGATTATTAGCTATGATTTCCTGCTATACTAATTGGTATAATGTAAACAAAAACTAGTTTATTAAATTTTGAATATAAATCACTAAAACTGTGTGACATGTGCAGTAAAGGATGCCCATGACAATAGGGTTAGGTGTCTAAGATAACTTCATTTTACAAAGTCAAGAAGCAGGATGCTACAAGTATTCAGATAATAATAAAATATCTTTACATTGTAATTATATCACAAATTCATTAATATATATTAAATATTACCAGTAATAAAACTTATTTGTGTGTGTTTAGAGCTTTCCCCATCAAAAACCTGAAAATTATGTGTATGATAACTGAGCATCTTTCAAAGTAAAAAAGACTACAAATATTGCTTGTGCTTTCTTTCTAGCTTTTGGGGAATCCTGAGCTGTTACTGAAGTTTGCAGGCCCACCTTTATATGGTGAAAGGAAAACTTCCCATTCCAGTGATTTGGACCTTATTAAAATGTAAGTGCGGTGATGTGTTGTGTGAAAAATGTACACATTTTTTTGTTGTACCAGATAATGAATTTGTTTAAGGATTTTATTCAACAATAAATTTAATACCTACACAGAGTTTTATGTGTGAGGTGGTATATGAAGAAGTAACTAAAACAAGAATATTACATTGCTAAAGATATGGATACCATGAAATTTAATGATTAATAAAAATTACTGGTTTACTGATCCTGTCACAATCAGAAATCACCACTGCTGGTTATTATAGTGCACAATCGTCCTGATTCCAATTGCCAATCCTGATTATGTACAGTAAAGTTGATTATGTTATTATGTTGTATTGTTGATAGTTTAACCTTAAAAACTGTAAGGACCACAGAGAATGTACTTTGAAGCTTAATTAAATTTTGAAATGGTTGAAGTTATCATTAAATGTGCCATGCAAAAAAAATATTTTTTTTTTTCCATTTTTATTTGAATGACCTTGTGGCTAGTACATGATTGATACATAATGTTATATGACGGTTGTGAGAGACAAACAAGTTGTTGAGGTTCATTGTCTAAATTCATCATTCACTTCAACCATATGTTTGAAAATTTTTGCTATCACTCTACACATTTCAAACTAAACCAAATGAAATCTTCCAACCAAAGGTCAAATAAGGTGACAGTGTTTGAAAGTTTTCATTCATAAAAAAAAGAAATCTGCAAATCGGTTGCTGAAACATTTTGTTAAAAATTGACCTTATTACAAAATGCTCCTTCCTTTTTTTTATAGTAATGATCAACTTTCCAACCTTAAAAAACAAAAAAGAAATAACTTTAAATGCATTATGATAAAGAAGACCCACATAATACTGGTTGAATTGTTTAAAGTTTATCACTACCTTGCTCGACACACATGCTTTCATCAAATCTCAGCACTTACACTATGTCACTTTTGCCATTTGTCTAAATTCACGAAATAATAGCTTTTACTGTCACTAAAGATGTATACACTCCCCTGTTAGTTATAGGTGTAATGTTGGTTACGACAATTGCCCACCTTCTTGATTCTTCTTTTTCAACCATTTGTTTCCTACTTGAAAAACCCAAAATATCTAATTTTTCTCATTCAGAAACATTCCAACCAATCAGCAATCACATTTGTCAAGCCACAACTAACTTTAAAGTAACTTCTTGGAACTAGGCATATTAATAACTAATGGGACTGTCAAGTGATGAAATGGAATGTTCCATAGCTGTCTAATAGGTTAGTTATTTTGTAAGTATTTGTATATACATATTTATCACTTTCACCTTACAGTGACATGCACAATTCAAACCTCCCATTGGAAAGTAATGGGATATTCCAAATTTTCAATCAATCTGCTGTTGTGCTCTTTGGTGACCTCCCCAAACAATGAGCTAATACACAGTGCGGTACTAACAGGGAGCCATATGGCATATAATCCCGAGAACTTTGCAGGAAAAGTCCCCTTAGATCTCTTGCAAGCACACAGTGTCTATTAGCTCTATGCATAGCATTCTGTTATCAACTATTTGCTAACATACAGTCCGTAAGGAAATGGGCGTGCTTTGGGATGTGCAGAGCATTATTTTTAACCTTTATCTTGTTCAGTGTATCAACTTATGTAAATAAATGAGAAACAGATATTGTTTAACTGGGGATATTTTATTCGATGGTGAAAATTTTTTTTGTGTTTTAAAAAGAAAAAGTAAAAAGTCATGATTATAAGCATACTTACAAATTGGAAGATTGTTGTTGTGAATAAAGTGGTCTGGGTGGTGTTATTTTTAATTTCTTGGAAGTTGGTTTTCTGTGATTGGGAAATTCGACAAATTTGACCGATTCCAATTGTCACCCGATCATCTAATAATTGGCCCGATTCCAATTTTCGAACCGATTATCAGTAAAACAATGAAAAAAAAATGTTAATTGTTACATAAATCTAAATATATTAAAAAGTAAAAAAATCAAAAGAAGAAGAAAGGATATTGTTAATCGAAATGTGTGTTTCATTACAGTGTGACATAATATTTAGGTTGTTTTAGATTTTGACAATATTATTTTGTTTACTTTCACTTCTATATTGGGTTTTTTTTTAATTGCTATATGTGTAGGAATTAGATTAGTTATAAACTTGCATCAGTTCTCACCTCAAGCAACTTCCATAACACAGTGACCATTTTATAGAGCTTGTACTTGTTTGGCCATGCTTCCTTGTTGTCATTCTCCCAGGGTGTGAACCGTACCCAAGTGTAGGGGTATTACATATGTTTGTACAAATTAATATGGGCTGGGAGTTCATCTCTCTTAATATGTGAGATTAAGTAATCACTTATGCAGGTAATTTACTATTATGCAATATAGCACTAAAATCTTTTGTTTGACTTTAATAATAATGTGGTATATATACACAACCCACACTCTCATTTACTATATTTCTCTTCATCGGCAGCCAGTTAGTCTACAAATAAATTGTTGTTGGCCAATACTAAATAATGATAATATTTTAGTGTATTTTGTTGTCCAGTAAAGACTGGCATTATTTTTTGTTTTGAATATGTGTTAGAGTATTATTCTTTGATCTCTGTGTGTTTATTTTTATTTAAACTTATCCTGAATCTACTGCTTTGTTTTTTGTTAACCTTGATACATGTGTAATTCATTTGGTGCAATACATCTATAATATGTTTAGTGTAATGAATCTGAATATATTTATGTTTATATTACATTTATAGGCCAAAAACAAAAATATTTGTCATAAAACCAGTAAGAACCTATAAGTATTCCATTTGTTATAGGATTTATAACAAAATTATATAGGTGTGTTTTTGCATTCATGTAATATGTAGTAGCAGTTGGACATAATGTGCTTTTTCATTTGTATGTGTTATTAGAATATGTAACTTGAAAGAAAGAGAGAGCACTTGTACGTTAATTGATGTGTACATATGTTGGTGTAAGTTAACCTTATGCATATGGCTAGATGCAGTTTGACTGACTTTATAACCAACATCTAACCAATATACTATATAACTTTGAATGTACTAAGTGTATTGTCACAACATTTGGCTAGCTGTTAGTAAACATTAAAAGTATGTTGTACACAAAACAGTTAAAAATTTAATAAATTATTTTTATTAAAGATTTGTCTGTGAATTAACAAAGCCTTTACAAATTCAGTTGGAGTGAAAAGTAATTTTCTTGTTAAGAATAAAAATAATTCTTTTTACATTTTTTATAGTTAATTCCCATAAGCTCTAGAATCTTTTAACTAATATTAAGTTTTTTTTCAGTAAGATTTATACTTTATTTCTTATTTTCTCAACCCTAACACTAATTGTAGCAAAACCATTCATAGTGAAATTTTATAAAATACGAGATAAAATTTGTTTTCTAGAATGACTGTATGTTGTAACAGACAATTACAATTATTTATCCTAGATAGCCTCAGACTCCTAAAAGTTTCACTATGTTGTAAACGACAATTATAATTATTTATCCTAGATAGCCTCAGACTCCTAAAAGTTTCACTTTCTTTTAAATTTTATTATTTTGTTGATTTTTGAACCATGTCTAACTAGCATGACAAAGCAATAAATCACCCAGTGAGAGTTTAGGGCAAATTAAGGTTAACAATCTATCAAATTACATCAGTAGTTACCATTCCATAATAACATCTGTTGCTCCTCTAGGAGAAATTTTAATTATTTTTTATTTGAGTTTTCTTATTTAACCTAATAAGTTTCCAATATTTACATTTTAGTTAGTTTTTAATAAAATGTATAAAAATTGATAAACCTTATAATATATTATATTATAACTCTCATATATAAATTCTGAAATGATAACTCGCCTCTTCACACAGATTAGCTATCTTCCTCAGCACATATGCCAAAAAAGACTTGCATGCCACTAGCTTTGAGGCAACTCCTATCTAATTTTATATGAATTGCATCACTGCCTAATGATATCATCGTGTGTCAAAAGCCCTCCACCAATAGGAAGGCAACACACCTCCATGCAAACTTGCCTTCCTATGCATTTTGCATTTGCACTGATGAATCTTCTTTCATCTCTTCAGCATTGTATTGTAAATATGTGTTTAAGTTAATTGTCTGTGTTAAACTTATTAATATTTATATCAGTAATGAAATTTTATATTTCGTTTTCCTTAGCTTTTGTTTCAAAAGCTTCAATTTTTTATCATGAATTTTCACGTAACTGTGAATTATACTTAATCTTGAGTGTGGGACATTTTTCACACTTAGGCTTTATTTCTGCTTTGGCTTTCAGAGGTTCATTAAATGTTAGTCATTGTATCCTTGGTTTGCTTGATCTTTGAACCCCTAGAAAGGTCTCTTCCTATTATCCCCTCACTCTCTCCTGCTTGTCATTCTCCATTCTTTCCACTAATGTGTTTTTTTTTTGTTGCCATTCTATTATGTTTGTCTATCACTATCTATGGTGGGTCTCTTTTCATTTATCCTTCCATCACCCTTTTCCTGGCAGTAATTCTGTGCACAACCTTTCTGGCATTCTTACCCAGCTTTTCTTGGATAAATTCTCATCTCAACCTGTCCTAGTTGTCAATGTCAAAATGGCCTTTCTCTTTTCCTGGTACCAAGAGATATTTCTTTCCTTGCCCTCTCTGTTCTGTTCCATTCTATGTTCTTTTCAACCCTCTTCACCAAACTCCTTTGCCTGACTGAAACCTTAATGAGGTTTTGCATGATCTCTTGCATGCCCCATTCGAGCTGTTGACTTTTTGGCATTTATGTTGTCTTTCTTTCCTGACTTGTTTCTTTTTATGACTACCATTGTTCTGATGTCTTTCTTTTACATTCTCCTCACACCCTCTTTCACTGCATTTATGTTTTCCTCTCCACTAACCAATCTTTTCTTCCTCAGACTTCAACTGCATGGTAGGTACATTGTACTTCTCTCTTATCTCCCTTTCATTTGGCTTGATTCCCATGTCCTATAGAGCTGTTTGGTGTGC